AAAACCTACATTCCCAGGAATAGTAATTTCCGAGAAATTATGGAAAAGTACAGAGGCAGGAATTAATTGAACCATGCTGCACCGTACCAGTAGAGTCAGCTCCAAGTGTTCCCGCCCTTGGGCTGCTCGTGACTCTCTCTGAGTTTGGTGTCGCTGTCTTTACTTCCTTGTAGGCTCAGTATTGGTAGACCTATCTGTTGTCTGCGCCTGCCTGCTTCATACATGTTCAGCTGTGCCAGGAAAACATTTCTAACGCGTTTACCGGGAACTTCTGGTTCTAACATTGTTTGTTGAAGGGTCTTTTCCTGGGAAATAGTAGACTTTTTGAGACTCCCTGGTCACATTTGTTTCTAAATGTAATATTCTTTCGCGAACTCTCTCCCTCTCTCTCTGTAATTGTGTTTCATAATACTTTCTGTATATATGTGTGTGTTAAAGATTGTATCTTTTACCTCACGTTATCCGTCTATTTATCCCGTTTTGCGCGGTGACCGGGTGACGAACTCCTTGTGGTCCGGGTTCACACCCGGGGGTAGACAGAAAAGCCACATTTCTCCCAGATTGGCGGTATTTATCATGGAATCAAGGCCGAAGGGGCGATATCCATAGTACCGAGCCTAAGGGTTGGCAACTCATGGCTTCTGGATGTAATTTTTCAAGAACTCGAAGTTGGTCTCTTGACCAGGAGGCAATCTCGAATAACATTCATAAGAAGGACCTCTTCAAGGCCGAAGGGGCGATATCCATAGTACCGAGCCTAAGGGTTGGCAACTCATGGCTTCTGGATGTAATTTTTCAAGAACTCGAAGTTGGTCTCTTGACCAGGAGGCAATCTCGAATAACATTCATAAGAAGGACCTCTTAAAGACAGTGAAAGTTTTAGACACCACTTCTCTTTATCCAACAAATAAGACCTAGCAACGTTTTCGAATTTTTCCAAAAACACATCCATTCTATCCTCGCGTTCATTAAACTGCGGAAAAAGAAAAGACATCGGCCCAAGAAGGTGAGGATGGCCAAAAGAATGTGCCTCAGAGGTAGAAGATTGCGCATTAATTGCTGTACTAGAGGTAGACTGAGATTGTAAGTCAAGCTCTCTGAGACGGAGTTCATGAGCTCTCATCTCTCGTTCTTTCTCAGCAGCTATCTCAGCTAGTCTGATGCGTTCTTGTCTTTCTCTTTCTCTCTCCTCTCGTTCGTTCTCCTCTTGACGCCTTTCACGGTCCTCCTGTCGCCATTCTCGTTGTATTTCTTGAAGATATGCCTTTAATTCCTCTCCAGCATAACCGAGAGTTTTCCCCAGCTCCGCCATCTCCATAAGTGAGGGTCTTGTTGCCATTTTACCTGCAGAATATACTTTAAAAGAACACACGCAAACACCAATCAAATTAACACAAGTGTAAAGTTATTGTATTGTTTTCCCTAAAGTTAATTTTTGCCTAATATTATTTACCTTTAAATTCCTACCAATTTCCTATTAATGACTACTTTTAATGTCCTAACTTTTGAAAAATCCCGCGTAAGAGACCCCAATTGTAATCAACTATTGTTGGCGGAATCTATCGTCGCCTGGAGATCCCCTATATCCTTCCAAATAACTTACAGGGCTCGAATTAAATAAGTCTAGGGGAATTATAACGGTCCCTGAGTTCTGGAAAATAGAGGAAGGAGAATACAGAAAGTTAAAGAATAGGGTGAATCCCCGAAAATGTCCTAAAGAAATTCAGAAAACAACCAAAGTCAAAACTTTGTAAATTTAACTCGAATAAATTGCAATGAACAATCTTTAGTCTACCTAAGAAGTAAATTTGATACGATGAAATCGATAAATGGAGTTTCTAAACCACAACTGTATTGATAAAATACTGATATTGAATTCAACAATTTCCAAATTAACACAGAGAAAATAAATCACGGTTTCATCATTTACACCACATAACTCTGAACAAACATCAAATGTCACTCAGCTTTCCGATAGTATTGATGAGCTGAAATGTCGTTTCCTTTGGAGGAATGTCAACTGAAAAACCGGCAATTAGGGATACGGTTCACGTTCTTCAAGCAACTAGGCAAACAGGCCAACCGGAATACAGAATTACGGTCCTCTGGTAACCAGGCAGGCAGGAATACGGGAACCTGCGGAATACATCATTCAGCCCTGTGTTGAGCATTATGTCGACACATCTGGAGCAGGTGGAGGTGTTGCGGTGTCTGTGGTGTTTGTCAGAGTTAAAAGAAAGAAAGATCAAGGTTCATATGTTGTCTTTCTCTACAAGTAAATCAAAATTATACATCTCCACCCTATTATAATATGTTGGTTTATACCTATCTAATTTATGGCACGATCATATAAAACTTGACATAATTAAGCGGACACACATTCGCCTGCGGATTGGACAGTTATTAGTTCGAGTCCCAAAACCCAGGTCGACTTCGCCTTAACGGACACCAGGTATAGTAATGGGAAGTAAAGGTGGCAGATGTGATGTTGACCACATCAACACCTAGGTACCACTTGGTCTATAAAACATAGGCCAACCCGATATGCCCACAAAGTTGACGACTTTTGCTCAAATTATATGTTGCATACTATAATAAACATAAGCAATGTAATCTATACCCGACTGATGATACCCCATGGCACAGGATGATGGTTTATATTGTAAGATCTTTACACAAGTAGACCGAATGAATATTTTCTGGAAAGATGACAGAGGGAAGGAAGGTTCGCTATTGCATAGTCCTAACGGTGAATAGTAACTTTAAGAACGTCATAATAGGTAAGGACTAGTGAATTGTCCAACGGACAAGTATCAAGGTTGATGTGATGAAGTCACGGAATATTTATACAATGGTAGAATATAGAATAGTAGGATCTCAATAAAATATTTTAGGATACAGCTAAGGCTTATAGGGGATCTCAGCTACTCCCTACCATTATAAATCTCACCTGAAATCGTATATGGTATTATTATTATTGTTGGTGTTAGGCCGATGGTATGGCTGGCAATCGTTCTGTGTTGTCACGAAACTAGATCTAGGGGTTTCTCCTAGTAACACCACAAAACGTCATAAATTATGTACGCCTTCGTACCTTTTTATTCTTTTAGCGTCTATGTTTAAATATATTTATTTTACGTGCGCAATTCTTTTAACTAAAACTTGCAATTAACTCTTGCCGGACCGAAATTATCCTCCGTTTTGTCACACTGGATACTAAAAAATTTTTTTTTTCAAATCCCGTTGTAATTCTTTTGCTGTTCTGTCATTAAGTCTGTCTTTCGTTGCTGTCTCCAAGTATCAATGCCCAGGGTCGTGCTGTGATATAGAGATATAGCCGCATCAAGCAGCACCGTAAGAAATAAAAATACAGTTTGTACTTTTAATGCGACAGCGCGAAGCTGTGGGCGGCATTTCGAAATCTTGCATCATACTGACAAAATCTACCACCCGGGACTGTCTGTTCCATCGTATCAAACACACACAGACACATAGACAGAGAGAGAGAGAGAGAGACAGACAGACACACACACACACACACACACAAGCTTGACTGTCGGAATCTATTGGGAAACAAACTTTGGATTTACTGCTCTAACGCTCCCTACATGCGGCTAGCTGTTCTGCAGAGGGGGAGAGCCAAATGGGGTGAAACCCGATGCAATGAGTTCGAACCTCTGGAGGTTAGACTGACACAGACAGCAGAAGTTCTGGGAGTGTATGACTCTCGTGCCACGAAATCAGCGTGACATTGCCAATAAAAAAAAATCAATAATAAATATTTTTTTTCAGTGTAGCTACCAATGAAAAATAATACTGATAGGTCGACATCGTCTACATAAATCATGTGTCAATATCTCCCAGTTACATAAATCATGTTTATGTAACTGTGCCCAGGAATTCCCAGTTTTGAGGAAATAACCAAGTCCAAGTAATTGCCCAGTCACAACCTTCTGTAAGCTTTTCCACATGTAATGCCATTTTCCTAAAACAGAGCTTTATTTTGAATAAACACGGTTTCTTAAGAAATTCAGTTTCACATTTGCGGTTTAAATTTCGTCAGTCTATAATCTTTTCTGTAACATATATAGCTGAAGGAATCTCTACATTAAGTCTGCGCGTTGTTGATCAATTGGTGATTTCTTTCGTCTTTGAAGTGTATATTTGTATGCTATTTATTTGTGCATTTGTATCTTCTCCTTCTTCCTCCGCTGCTGTCGTCTCATTAATAACAGATTATAGCCCAGTTACATGGTTTTCATTTTGTGTCTTGTGCTTCTAATGCTGGTATAATTCGTAACCCTGTCACTTCTGGTGTTGTAAGCATTTCACATGTAGTTATTGTCTGTGCTAGTTTGTAGTAGCAGCTGATTACAACACCGCCGGCCTAAAGGCATAGGGTGCATTTGTATCACTGTAGTCTAGTATAAATATGGGCAAATAAACTATTCAAATAACCCTACTGCCTCGGTCTGTGTGCCTGTATGTGTGAGACTGTATGTCGCTTCTCTCTCTCTCTCTCTCTCTCTCTCTCTCTCTCTCTCTCTCTCTCTCTCTCTCTCTCTCTCTCTCTGCATCTAATCTGTCTATCTGTCTGTCTATGTATTTGTTAGTATTTCACAATTGGTTATTTTCTGTAGTTAATGTAAGACGGGCCTGCGTGCTCAGTTTGTGACCCTTTGAAAACAAGTTCTATCTATCTATCTATCTATCTATCTATCTATCTATCTATCTATCTATCTATCTATCTATCTATCTATCTATCTATCTATCTATCTATCTATCTATCTATCTATCTATCTATCTATCTATCTATCTATCTATCTATCTATCTATCTTATCTACCTATCTAGCTAGATGTCTGTCTGTCTTGTATATGTGTATGTATATGTGTGTGTATATATAGATATATAAAATCTCTTTCTCTCCCGCCATATATCTATGCGTGGCCATGTTTCTGCAGCACTTGCTTCCATTCCCTACAGAGCTGCACTCAAGGTATGGGAGATATTGACACCCAGAAGATGGCCTCTCTGGACTTGGACACCAACAGCAGCGACGATTTTGTGGACCCATGGAATGTGCACACAAGTTCCGCCACAGGCATCGACTACGCCAAACTCATTGGTCAGTTTTATACTAGCCTTGTTCTCTATGCTCTCTGTGTGCCCAACATCAATATCATCATCATGTGTCTTCAGTAACATCGTCATCCCAATCATCAACACCAGCATCAACATCATCAGTATTATCATCTTCATGTGTCTTCAGTAATATCGTCATCACAATCATCAACATCATCAGTATTACCATCATCATGTGTCTTCAGTAACATCGTCATCACAGACATCAACACCAGCATCAACATCATCAGTATTACCATCATCATGTGTCTTCAGTAACATCGCCATCACAATCATCAACATTAGCATCAACATCATCAATATTACCATCATCATGTGTCTTCCGTAGCATCGTCATCAGTGTCCCTGTCATAATCCACATACCCCGTGTGGATTCCAAGGCTCTGTTATAGGGAAAACAAGAATAGACCCACTGCCTACCCAAAAGCGTGTCATAAGAGTCGACTAATTTGGGAGCTTCCTTCGAAGTCGGAGTGTATATGCCTGAGAGGCAAGGAACCAGCAGTCTGCATACAAATGAGTCAGATCTGTAAAACGGATGCACACGCAACACTCAGGTTCTGGAACAGGACTAGTCTAGAAGTGGATGAACAATCAGAACTTTCCGCCAGAGTTTACAGCTGGTGAACACGAAGAAGTAGAAGAAGAAGATAATCAGTAGCATCGTCATCAACACCATCTTCACCATCATCATTATCAACATCACTCTCATCATCAATATTACCATCATCATCAAGATGATGTGTCACGTCAAGTGTGGACTGTTGTCAGAAACCTAACTGTCTAGGGCTCGATTCCATTGGCTCTGCTATAGGCTAATGACAGGAAAACACCGTACAAACACACTCAAGCCAAACACTTGTTGCAACACACACACAATCTTTATTACCAAAGATGCAAACGAAGTGGTGGTACACCTCAGGAGGAGTAGCGCTCCTTATTCAAAACCCAGGCCGCGTCTAACTTTAAAATCGCTTAGAGGCGCCTTTACACGTTTATGAACTAAGCTCTGAGCCGCTACCACTCTCCCGTACAGTGCCAGCTCAACCCGCTATATCTCGATGCCAAAGACGTTATGGCATGCGCCAATGTGTAGGCCTAAGTGCGTCGACAGTGTTAACGCCACCAGCAAAGCATGGTCTGGCTTCTAGTTACAACTATTACTTTACATGAAACTATGAACAGAACACGTTACATCTAATCACTACGCTGGTACCTATCTTCATGTCAAAAACAAACGGTCAGTCAAAAATCCACTCTCGTCCCACGTCCAGTTTCCTAGCAGTCCCCCAAGCAAGCGTTCAGCCTCCGGTCCAAAATGTGCACACCTGTGCGAAGTCCGCTCATGCTCGTTTCTACGTGTGTATGCACGTACTGAGTGTCACTAAGGGTCGCAGGGTACGATGACGAGATTCATCATCATCATCCTGAACTGTCCCATAGCAGGGCGAACCCTGACATCCACCCCTCCTTTTGGACAGATACTTCCTGATGACAGACGTCTACCTTACATATCTACGTCTGGAGTCAAGTATCTCTACCTGGGTATGGGATGTCTACAGGATTGTGTCTACATTCAGTTCAGTGCATCTCCTGATATCCTGCTTTCTTCCCCCAATTATTGTCACCAAACAGTCATGAAAGTTCCTATCAACATAGATTTGAGATGTTTCCTAATGAGAGTCAGTCACCTGAGAACAACGTATCTTTACATCCTTATGGGACATGTACATATACAAGGACAACACTAAACCATGAAGTTACCAATAGTATCACAACATGTCACAAGTACGCCACTACTAACCAACACTTTGTAGTCATAGAGGTTAAGACTGATTATATAATATTGTGGGTGGACTATTAACCGCCCGGGACCCACATGAACCCAACCCCACTCTCGTGCGAGTTGTACGCCATTGAGAACATAACAATGGTCGTCATAGACATGACCCTTCTATGGTTCTAACTAAGTCATCCCGACTCCTTGACATCCCGTCGAATAATGTGTCTAAAAATTACCTAGCAATACCTGCCGCTGACACATGTCATACCTCTGGACATATAGTGTAGTATATAGAAACACAAGTGTGGCCTGTACGACACATTTGCAACAATCATGGACAATGTCACCTGTAACATGAAACTTCCCTTAATGTACAAGGTTTCTATCACCTTCATATATACTCAGTGATCTCTCCTCTGGAGCGACAGTCTCTTCTAACAATATTTAAGTTTCGAATTTGGTTTATAAGTTTCTTATTTAAAAACAAAAATAAAATAAATAACCAAATTATTGTCAACCAAAATCTACTACAAATTTACATAATTACCAAAACCAACGAAAAAAAAAAAAAAAATACAAATTATTTCAAATAATATGTTACCACGTCGTGTCCTATTGTCAAAAATATTATTTAGCTACCTAGTCTCGACCTTATATAATAATTTCCTATTACATAAAATATACTATGTGTAACTAGTTGACTATTGCGGTGCCATCCACAGAACCCAAATGTGTGGTTGACCTCTCAACAACCAACATGTCACATTTAACTTACAATTACTCACGGAGAAATGTTAGAAATGCAAACCTGCAAAATTTTATACGTTATAGTTTAACTTTAACGATTAGGAGAAAATGGAAAAATTACGTATTGAAAACCAAAAAAGAAAATCACCAGAGAAAAATTACATTTCCAAGCTGAAAAATCAACCCAAAGATTACATTTTAAAAATAAATAATGTGTACATCCAATTTGCAACATGAATACAAAATATTTCACAACAAGACATAGATATCAAAGATGAATCTGATGAATCAGATGTATAACCTTCAATATGTAACAAACCAAACATATTACACTATCACAATTAACAAATAACATATAGAACATGTAATGGCTTAAACATAATATGTTAATTCACGATCACATAACATTGATAACATTTAACGAATAGAATATAACGTATGTAATCAACTGAATTTATCAGATCATGATCACATTTAACATAAATTTATCGTAGTGACGTGAATATTTCTATAGTCCCCACGTGTCATTTGTCCTTTCATTCACTTTTAATGTACATTCACTCATCAGTCATACTCTAAGTTGACGATGATCCAGTCGCTGATGTCCAGATCCACTGTCATTGACGATTCCACTTTTGTTGCCATAATAATTTGAATTCCAGTGTGTTTAAACGATTAAGTTGAATGCTTTCAGTGTTCAATGAGTTCAGTTTCCTTGAATTGAAATCTTCAGCTGTATATTGTTCTAACGAATATTGACTTCGCCTTGAATTCTAGAATGATGCCTTTGAAATTTAGAATGTCATATCAAATAAGATCTTGCAACTGTAAGAGTTCACATTATTGCTTGAAGGAGATACATCTAGTTTTGCCACATTTTTGGTATTTCTGCAATATGAACAGTTCTTTCCTGAAACGTCTAGCACAAAGTCGATAAGTAAATATGTTACTGAAATGTTCTTGCTGTATGTAAGCTCGGTTTAATGAGCCTTTCACAATGTTGGCTTATGGATGCAGTACCTAATCATCTGGCAGTTTGTGTATTTGTAGATTATATCAGATGAAGCATTGATGTGGAAAATGATGAACATAATATTGAAGTGTCTGATGGTGTCATCGTTGACTATTTTCAAAAAATTAATTATTTTCCCATTTCTCAATAGGATATTAATATGTCTGTACTAGTTGAACATTTAGTATTGAAACAATTTCATCAGACATGATAACTTTATCTTCACTTTCGAATGCAATCTTGTTAATCTGCAACTGATGAAAATTTTGTATCAGCAGTAGGTTTACTGCATCATTGACTTCCGACATGGAGACAATATATCTTTTCGATCTGCAATAAAAGTTGTTGAATGCTGTAAAATCATCATAGATCGAAAATGTTTCTGTCTTGTACAGTACAGTTGTGGATATTGACGTCATAGTCATCATAGACGACTCAACAGATCAGCCGAATTGTAGACAATATTGATGTGGGTTATTTCAAACTTGTTCTTTAAAAGTAGTGCCCACTTGGCAATCAAGTTGTTTTTAGGTACTGGTTCACACGGTCTGCAACAATATCTGTGCTGAATAAAGGCAACAGTTTCTTGTAAGATTGCAACAGCAAGGTACATACTATTGGGTGCTGTTTTGGCTTCGCCATGACATAGGCATCTGCTAAACTGTAATACATCGACGAAGGGTAACTCTCCTTTAAATGGGTACGCTTCTGGTTGCTTCAAACAGCCCGCACTTCTTATACTGTTCACGCTAGATCTGAGGATGGAAGTCAATTTAAATTGAGACAATTTTAAAATTGGGGAACTGGAGAGCAGTGTCTTGATCCTGGCGAAGGCCTGGTCAAGTTCAGTATTCCATTCAATCAGGTTGGAGGATCCCTTTTTCAAATGTTTCGTATAGGCAACCGTTTTATGACTAACATTTGGGATGAATTGACTGCACTTAATGAGCCCAAGTAAGCTTCGGATTTCTTTTTTCTTTGTTGTGGGATTTGTCAGGTTCGAAATATTTGGAATAATTTTCTCATCCCTCTGCAGTATTCCCTTAAAAGTGTTATGCCCCAAAAATTTAAATTCATGAAAATCAATTTCGATCTTGGAAGGTTTAACTGTCAAACCAGATTGTTTACCACGCTCAAAAGCAGTTCTGAGCGTCTTTACATAAATAACAACATTTTGAGAAAAGACATTTGCTAACTTTTTCATTTGATAATAATATGAAAATGTCTTTGTAGGTAAGACATTATCAGACACTTTTAATAGCTTCCAAGATGTTTCGGAAACACTACTGGTTTTTTTACTGTTTGTTTGTCTGTGGGACCTTCTTCAGGTTCCTGAACCAGACTACATGATGTTTCTACTTCATGTCCCTCTGACGTAATCTGTCTGTAAGCAACAGGTAGTACAGTTTGTTTAAATGTATAAACACCTTTATTGTAGAATCGGGTGAGGATAGCCCTTTTTTGGATACAAAAGACCATTTTTCTTTGTTTGAAAATTTATCAGATTTATCAGACAGTTGTAAACATTTTGTGAATGTAGTATCATCTCTTTGCTTTGAGATGAACTCATCTGTTACATTTGGTTGATCAGAATGAGCAAGGTTTAAAATTCTATCCATTCTCTCGCGCTTTCTCACATCATTCTCTCTACTTGTTTGTTGCCCTGCAACAACATCACACTGTTTCAACTTTTTTCTTCACTTTGGGTTGGGTCTGTGCTAGCACTGCTGGTACATAATGAGTCCTTTCCCACTCCTTTATTTCTTTCATGGTACAACTTTTTGGGTTTTCTTTCCCTGCAATGATCACGTCTGCGGGTGGTTTTCTACATGCAAGTACTTCTATTCTCCCACAAAGAAATGGAGATTCAACCTTCACCCTAGCTATTCTCAACTCACATTTTTTTCTTCCTAATTTATATGCTATTGTTTCCCCTGTGTAATCTGGCTTCTCCAATAAGGACTTTCTAATAATTGAAAAAAATGTGCCAGATGTTCTTATCACTGTACCTGGTTTGCCGTTTATGATACCCTTACTGCTTTCCCTGTGGGTTTCAGCGTTGTATGCTGCCATTAATCTTTCGTGTGGTATTGTCTCGTCATCTGACAGCATTGTATCATTGTTAGGCCATGATGTCATCTCGAAAGATGTCTTTGGCAAACACTCTTTTACCTTACTGGATGCATCTGCTACGCCAGTTCCACCAGTTGGTTCATCATTGGGAACTTTAGTGTTTGATGGACTTATCTTTTCACAAGGCTCTTCTAATTGGCCCTCTTGTACTTTGCTGCATTCATTTGCCACACCATCTGTATTGACCACTTTCTGTTTGGGGGGTTTATCTACTCCAATTATCTTTGGTGGTTTATCTGCTTCTTCGTGATCAGAGGTGATTTCTGTCACCACATTACTTTGTTCTTGGGTTCTGTTTTCAGTACCCGGACAGATAATTTGGATGTTACCAATTTTAATTTTATGTGGTGTCATATGCTTACCCTGCTGTAGCATACGATCACACAGTGTGCAATCACTTTTAGGATGTTCCATGAACTCTGATGTTGTCTTAACTGCAGTTACTGTTTCGTCACCATATCCTCTAAGGTATTTTAAACCTGGGCATTGTGCTCGACAGTGCCCTTTAAATTGACACAAGAAACAGGTTTTCGCCCACTGTTTTGTCGATGCTTTTGTTAACAATAAGCCATTTATCTTGACTATCAATCTCTCAGGGTACATAGGGTGTTTATCACACATCGTGGTCTTATTGTGCAGTAAATCACAGTATACACAGACAGAATCATCAGTATTACTTTCAGGAGTATTACTATTCTTATCATTCTGCTTTCTGTTCCTATGTTCCTTTAAATAGGCCCCATATAATGGGCTAGCGTCACACATCTGAAATGCTCCATGGTGTTTCTTGCAGTAGGGACAAATTATTATCTTTCCCTTGTCTAATTTATGTTCATACTTTCTACTCTTACATTGATCTTCTGGTTGGTCACATGGATGGGATGGTATATCTCTTTCTGATCTTCTCTTTTTCAAATTTTGAGTTTTTCTCTTTATTATCTTTTGAACATGTTGTGCAAATTCAGGATTTTCATCACACCATTGCCATCTACCATGCTCCCTTTTACAGTGGACACATGTCACTAGTGGACCCTTTTCTATATACCTTCTTGGCATATTGAACAATGAAACAGTTGCAAGTAAACAATCAAATCAATACAAGCAAACCAAAACAAAATAACGTATATAAATACGATCACGAAATACCCGCACTATATCTATTGGAAAGGGAGAAAATTATAATCGCGAATATCCGAACTAAAACCGGACCTATAAATGTAATCTCGAATTAATCCGAGAACTAAACACAAATTTACAGTGTAATATTCAATAAAGAATATCACAAATCACATCATCACGGTAATACGACAACAATTTTTTAAGCAATTTGGATGTAGACAGTTCGAAAAATATTGGATCAGGAATCCGAAGAATACTTCTTACAATTGTAGATATGGAGAATGACTGATGTGTGTGCCGCAAAAAAAATTTTTTTTTCCAAAACACGAAAACAACAATAGGACTGATGAGAAAGGATAGCCAAGAACGATAGATAATGAACGGCGCCGATCAACCAACTAGATCGAGAAGGAATCTCACGGACTGGAGAACTGACCAGGACACAAACACCAAAATCAAAACAACAAAAACTTATCTGCACTCCAGTCTGGGAGACATGGCCGCCAAAGAACACGTGGATGTTGATGACACACTTGATGATGACGAGGACGACAGGCCTCGATGACTTCTTGGACTTGCACACCGCAACTTGTAAAACAATCACACTATGTCTATCTGTCTATGTCGTCCTAAATCCCTATCCGTCGTCACGACACAATCCTAACACATACAGTTATTACCTCTAATCAATACAGTCATGTTAAACAACAAACATGTAGACGGACTAACAATAAATTCCCATTTTACCTATCAAAAATATTTACGGAAAAACAAATACCTAGCCTTTCCTATCAGCTATTGACTAAGCACGTTGGGTTCCCACAAAATCCACGGTAAGAGCTCCCCACTTTCCTGTCAGAAACCTAACTGTCTAGGGCTCGATTCCATTGGCTCTGCTATAGGCTAATGACAGGAAAACACCGTACAAACACACTCAAGCCAAACACTTGTTGCAACACACACACAATCTTTATTACCAAAGATGCAAACGAAGTGGTGGTACACCTCAGGAGGAGTAGCGCTCCTTATTCAAAACCCAGGCCGCGTCTAACTTTAAAATCGCTTAGAGGCGCCTTTACACGTTTATGAACTAAGCTCTGAGCCGCTACCACTCTCCCGTACAGTGCCAGCTCAACCCGCTATATCTCGATGCCAAAGACGTTATGGCATGCGCCAATGTGTAGGCCTAAGTGCGTCGACAGTGTTAACGCCACCAGCAAAGCATGGTCTGGCTTCTAGTTACAACTATTACTTTACATGAAACTATGAACAGAACACGTTACATCTAATCACTACGCTGGTACCTATCTTCATGTCAAAAACAAACGGTCAGTCAAAAATCCACTCTCGTCCCACGTCCAGTTTCCTAGCAGTCCCCCAAGCAAGCGTTCAGCCTCCGGTCCAAAATGTGCACACCTGTGCGAAGTCCGCTCATGCTCGTTTCTACGTGTGTATGCACGTACTGAGTGTCACTAAGGGTCGCAGGGTACGATGACGAGATTCATCATCATCATCCTGAACTGTCCCATAGCAGGGCGAACCCTGACAACTGTCATGGCTAACCATCTCACATGATCACCTGAGCCTGTGATAAAGTCAGTGTTCTTGTTTTGATATGTCATGTGGCTAAACCATTTTGAGTTTATCTCCGGTTGTTCTCTTACTCTTTTTCCCCTCTAGTGTGTCAGTTGTCACTAAGTTTTCTAATTTAGTTCTCCTGATAACATGTCCACAAATATGTTTATATTATAATTGTTATAGTCAGTTTCTTCAAAGATTGACATTTATCTTTTCTGTCTGCCAAGACATTGTCTAGTCATAGTGTTCAGTGTACACTAGTGATTGTGACCCCGTTTGGCTTCCTGGACCCCATTTTGGGGTGGGGGTGGGACTAGACCCTCCTCCCCTTAAAAAGCATATCATAAAAGATGGCTAATTGGGAGTTTTCTGAAACTAGATGTATTTTGTTGAAAAGTCCAGGTATCGCAGCCTAGCTTTGAACGCCAGCAGAATGTGTCGACCGCACTTCTATGGGTGGACACATCATAAAGCATATAGTAAGAGGTGACTAAAGATGGGTGGTTTGGTCCTGGTTGGGATTGCCTATCCTGTTTCTTTAAAAGTTTCATCCATGGAAGCCAGCCACTATAAATTACTTGGATGGGGGTTAGTTAAGGGCCTCCTTGTGTAGTTTCTGCGGCTGCATTGTGGGGGAAAACAAGAATAGTCCCACTACCTCCCCTTCAAGCATGTCACATGAGTTGACTAATTGGGGGCTTTCTTCAGAGTTGGGGTACATCTGCCTGACAGGCAAGTACCAACAGTCTGCATGAAAATAAAAATAAGTCAGATGAATGTGCCTGCAACAGTCCGGTTCTGGAACAAGACTAAAGCCCAGAGGTGGATGAACAACCAGAACTTTCCGTTATAGTTACCTCTGAAGAAGAAGTTGGGGGCCTATGATAAAGGACAGAAGAATAAAATACATATTTTTTTGAGTTGTGTAAGGTTTTATATACAGCATAATCATGATTATAGTAAAGTAAACATATATTTATCTTCTGTGTTTACAGTTCGTTTTGGCAGCAGTAAAATCGATGATGAGTTGGTTGCAAGGATTGAGAAGGTAACAGGCAAACCTGCACATCATTTCCTGAAGCGTGGTATATTCTTCTCGCATAGGTTAGTGGTAATTACTTTCTATTGTTCACATTTCTCTTGCCTTTACTTTCCTTTCCTTTAAAGGTTAAAGACCAGAGTTTTTGTGCCATGTTTTTTATTAGATGAGTGCCGCTAGGTCCATATGTTGAGACTAATAGGCTTCCAGTATGTGTTCTAGAGTCCCATTGTTTGGGCAAAAAAATAGATCTACCGTCCCTTAACAACTATGCCATAAAAGGTGACTATTTTTTTCTTCTTCCAGCAGATTGGGTGTGTCGGGCCAAATGGGGCAGAAGTTGTAGTCTAACTGTAAACCACATGTCAGCTTCTCTTTGAAGGGTAAATGGAGAAGAGGTAGAAGAAGACTACTAACTGGCACTCATTGAGTGATGCAGTCGGTAGAATGACCTTTGTCAGTTCCCATGTGGTTTTGTTGTGTTAGCTCGTTTTAATCTAGAGCAGTGGTTCTCAACCTGTGGTTGAGTTTACAGCTGGTGAACACTAAGAGAAGAAGAAGATCCATAGCCACATGGTTGGTCACACATTGACTTTCTCATAGAGAATTTAACTACTGGACCCACAAGCAATCATTTTTATTTCTTCGGATGAAAACCTAGTCTTTATTTAATATTTAATTTATCATTTAATGTATTTTTTCCTTTATTAAAAAAAAATTGTGTTTGTGATCCCAGCCAGTTAGTTATCATCAATCTGACCTTACAAATAAACTCAGTGAAATAATAGAACACGAAGTACCGTTCAATAACAGTTGTTTCACACACAAATGTTTCATCAGTTCACTGACATTTGTTCCTATTACAGAGAAATGAACAGAATTTTAGATCTGTATGAGCAGAAGAAGCCATTTTACCTCTACACTGGACGAGGACCTTCTTCAGAAGCCATGCATTTGGGACATCTTGTACCTTTTGTGTTCACAAAGTGAGTCGCATGCTGCTTTCTGTTCTGTTTTTTATTTTAGATAATCGTGTTTCTGTTGGTCGGTCCAACATTACAGGAGATGAAATAGCAATAGATAACAGCCAGGTGAAGGGTGATCTTACGAGGTGAACAAAATTCTGATCAAAGCAGCCATTAGAATCCATTGGAATACTCCCCATCTAGAACACATCCCTATTGACCCAAAAACCTCCTTACATGAGAGCAGCAAACTGTTTATTTAGATTGTGAACAGGAGAGAGACAACAGACGCCACAGCCATTCATAAGCAAAATCAAGATTGGGGACTCTGGCTTTTAGGAATTAAAAGGGCAGTTAGCTCATTGTGTATTTTTGACCCAACACATTAGATGTGTGGATTCTGGGACCCCCGTTTTGGAAAAAAACAAAACAAGAATAGACAAGCTGTCTCCCCAAAAAGACTGTCATCAGAGTCAACTAATTGGGGGCTTCCTTTGAATTCTGAGTGTGTATCTGCCAGAGAGGCAAGGAACCAAGAGACTGCATACAATTCAGTCAAATCTGTAAAATGGATGTGCACAAAAGACTCGGGTTTGGAACAAGACTAGGGTGCAGAGGTGGATGAACAACCAGAATTTGCAGCTGGAATTTACAGCAGGTGAACGTGACAAAGAAGAGCAACAGTCTGGGAAGTCACATTTTACGACATGCTTGTTTAGAGGGCAGGTCTGTTGTCCCACCACACCCAGATGAAAGCAGCAGAGAAACATTGATTATTTTATCTGTCAATTCACGTCACATGTTAATTAACATTTCACATCTTAGGTGGCTGCAGGAAACATTTGATGTGCCCCTGGTGATACAGATGACTGACGATGAGAAGTATCTATGGAAAGACCTGACCATCGAAGAGGTGCAGAGGGTGGCTCTGGAGAATGTCAAAGACATCATCTCTCTGGGTTTTGATATTGAGAAGACATTTATATTCTGTGATTTCACATATATTGGGTAAGTATATCACCAAGTGTTTGATCAATCAGATTTGACCCCTCCATGAAATGATGGATTTTTATCTGTTGGGGGCAGAAATGAAATCCTAACATGCACGATCTGTTTCGACTGCTTTTTTTCTTCTTCTCCTCCTCCTTGTCTTCTTCTTCTTCTTCTTCTTCTTCTTGTTCACCAGCTGCAAACTGGCGGAAAGTTCTGGTTGTTCATCCACTTTTGGACTGCAGTCCTGTTCCAAAACCTGAGTGTTGCTTGTGCATCCGTTTTACAGATCTGACTCATTTGTATCATGACTGCTGGTACCTTGCCTCTCAGGCAGATGCATTCCGACTTTGAAGGAAGCTCCCAATTAGTCAACTCTTATGACATACTTTTGGGTAGGCAATGGGTCTATTCTTTTCCCCCCACTATAATAGGACCCCGGAACCCACACTGGAGGGCAACTGCTCTAAATCCTCAGGCTGAAAATTCTTCTACCCCCCCCCCCCCCCCCCCCCCCCCAAAGTGGCGAAGACAGAATACCACTAACTGCATTTTTCTCTTCTGTTGTCCTGCTGGTTATTCCACAAAACGTCACAGAGAGGAGTTAGATGTAATTTCCTGTCTTTTGCTAGTTGCGTAGCTTGTGTTAATGAGATACTGCATTTCTGTAGTGTCTCTTTTACTCCCTCCACCCATGTGTTTTTTGGTGGGCCTCTTGTAGCTTGCTGTTCTCATCTAGTACATTTTGGTTGCTGGGTGATTTTGTTCTGATGTTCTACGAAATCATTTACCAGTATATGCCTTCTGTTGTTTTTAATTCTTCATTGCTGTCTTTTCTTGTTTTTCCCCACTGCATTTCTTATACATCTCATCTCACCTGTTGTAATTTTGTGTTTATGTTTTTCTAAGACTGTCCATGTTTTGCCTAGGTAAACACCAGTGTCAAACTAACTATTTGTCATATTAACCCAGTTTCACCATATATCATGACTATATCTAGATTTGCCAGATCATGAACCTAGTTTCACCATGTCCCCAGACAATATCCAGATTTCCCCAATCATTAACCCAGTTTCATCATGTCTCCAGACAATGTCCAGACTTCTACAGAACAATCATCAAGATCCAGAAGCATGTGACCTTTAACCAGGTCAAAGGTATCTTCGGTTTCGGGGAAAGTGACAACATCGGTAAGATTGCATTCCCAGCAGTGCAGGCAGCCCCCAGCTTCAGTTCCGCCTTCCCTCAGATCTTTAACGGAAAGAAGGATCTGCCTTGTCTTATACCCTGTGCCATTGATCAGGTAAATACTGGAATCTGTCTCACTCATGTGCTGTGTTCAACCTGCTTATAGTAACTCCTTCTTTCTTTTCTTGTCTAAGCTGGTAAATGTAGAATAAGACCTCAGAAAAGTTAGTTCTGTATACTTTACAGGATGTAGCGGAACCAGTCCCAGCCTGTCCTGTCTCTTTGGGATTTTACTAGGACATTTTATGTTAAGTTGTTTGTCACTGCTTTGTGGACGATCCGCTTCAATACCATAGTCAAAGTCAGCTCAAGGCGTTCTGCTGCCAGATTGCCCGCAGCCGGAATCAAAGTGGGTATCTCAGAGTTACAAACGATTGTTGGCAGAGAGGCTTATGGGAGGAGATAATACTTTGCCCTAGAAATGCAACTTGAAACTGGCCAAAGTTGTGTCTGGGCAAACCTTGGCTGTTAGAGGAGGGGGAGAAGCTGTAAGAGGCAACCAGACAGAGAACTGTTCTGCTCATCTGACAGCTGCTCTGGCATGCTGTTTACCAAATGTACCTTTCTTTCAGAGTAAACAAAGCAGGGCAAGGGAGGGGTCCTACCGCATGATCAACACATAGTCTTTACACCTCCTATTCTTTGTTTGCTGTGAGGAGGAGAAAGCGCTTGTCTCGCTAGTTATCGTGATTTCCATGCTGTTGTTTGGCACAGTGTAACCCCTATAACAGGCCCTTTACCTGTAGACACTTTTTCCTGTACCCATTGCTCTGGAGCCACAGATAATCAACCACAGCTTCATGACACATTAAAGAAAGAATGTTTATCATCGCTTGTGATGGTTGAATAAGATAGGAGAGGGTAATACTGTTATTTGGACTGATGGAAAGGTGCCAACTGGGGTCTCATAGGATCCCAAAAGTGTCTTGGCTGAAAGGAGAAAATATCACAGCTTTTCTGTAAATAATCACATCAAATATATTAGACAAAGAAAGTTCTGTTAGTTTTTTTTAGCCTAAGTATACTTGTATTACTTCTACCCTAGAATGTAAAGGGAAATAAGACCTTGTAGTCTTGTACTTCTGCCCTAGGATGTAGAGGGAAATAGGACCTTGTAATCTTGTACTTCTACCCTAGGATGTAAAGGGAAATAATACCTTGTAATCTTGAACTTGTACCCTAGAATGTAAAGGGAAATAAGACCTTGTAGTTTTGTACTTCTACCCTAGGATGTAGAGGGAAATAAGACCTTGTAATCTTGAACTTCCACCCTTGAATGTAGAGGGAAATAAGACCTTAAGACCTTGTAGTCTTGTACTTCTACCCTAGGATGTGGAGGGAAATAAGACCTTGTAGTCTTGTACTTGTACCCTAGGATGTAGAGGGAAATAAGACCTTGTAGTCTTGTACTTCTACCCTAGGATGTAGAGGGAAATAAGACCTTGTAATCTTGAACTTCCACCCTTGAATGTAGAGGGAAATAAGACCTTAAGACCTTGTAGTCTTGTACTTCTACCCTAGGATGTGGAGGGAAATAAGACCTTGTAGTCTTGTACTTGTACCCTAGGATGTAGAGGGAAATAAGACCTTGTAGTCTTGTACTTCTACCCTAGGATGTAGAGGGAAATAAGACCTTGTAATCTTGAACTTCCACCCTTGGATGTAGAGGGAAATGACACCTGTTGTCATGCCATAGAACAAAACAATCACTTTATTATTTTATTGAGGGTCCAAACTCGGCACCAGTAAATAAATAAGATGATACTGTGCATTGAGAAATGTCCACATAGCTGTAGATCAAGTCACAAACATTGTCACTATCACATAATTAAAAAAAAAACCTTCATTTAATAATTTTAATTTTTTGTTATTTGAAGCCCCACTCTGGCTTTTGCCAGGGGCCGCAATATAGGCAGGCCATAAATATGGCCAATTGTCTGAATGCGGTTTCTGGGACCTCTCCACGGCGATCCTCATCCGCATGGTGGCACTTTGTGTCATCGGGTGTTTATCGCTTGTGTGATGTCCTAGTGGGGTAGAAAGTCAGTCAGTCACTATCACATAAATTTCACTATTAGCAAAATGCTTGTTTATGTTTAAAACCAGTACATGAAACAAATCATCTAATATATAATAAGTTTTGTTGTAATAATATATTGTTTTGTTGTGTCTGTTTGATTGATAGGACCCATATTTTAGAATGACCAGGGATGTTGCTCCACGTCTGAACCTGCAGAAACCGGCTCTGATACACTCCGTATTTTTCCCCGCCCTGCAAGGAGCCACATCCAAGATGTCTGCCAGTGATCCAAACTCCTCGATTTTTCTCACAGACACCCCCTCACAGATCAAAAACAAGGTTGGACAACGTAATGTGGTTTTATTTAGCTAGTGAGCGTTGCCTTGTTACATTATCAGCATGGAGCAAAGACGAACATTAAATTCTGTGTCAGACTTGGACAAGTGCTATTGAGACTTGACTAAGTCAGTTTACATAAACACTCTGTAGGGATATGGAGTGTAGAAGAAGCAGAGCAAAGACAAGCATGCACTCGAAACACCTTACAATTTCAAACAGGGCCTGTCTTTTCACTTGATCTGCCTGAAGTCTGCAGTTGAGCTGTGGTGGTATAGTGGCCTGTACTGCCACCCCAAAGGGCTAAGGTTTAAATCTGCTTTAGGATAGATTTTCTTCTTCTTCAGAATTAACTTGAATCAGCCCAGCCTAAAACATGTATCAGGTGTAGTCCTGGGAAGTAAAGGTGGCTGACATGATATGAACCACACCACCCATACATTGCAGATTGATTTATAAAAAATATAGGTCTTGCACTGTGAATCTGATGTCCACGTCTGGTTTTTGGGGCTCTGCTTGGTGGTTTTTGGGGCTCTGTTTGGGAGAACCAAGAATAGACCCACTGCACCTTAACATTTTGTTGAGCTTTTTAGTCAAATTTCTCTGGAATTCTTAACAAGTGCGGCATAGGAGATGACTAATCAGGGGCTTTTCCTTCAGAATCAGTGTTCCTCTGCTTGAGAGGCAAGGAACCAGTAGTCTGCACACAAATAAGCCAGATCTGTAAAATGGATGTGCAAATATAACTCAAGTTCTTGATCAGGACCAAAGTCGATAGATGGACAAAAAACCAGAGCTTTCTGCCAGAATTTACAGCAGGTGAACACTCAGAAGACGAAAAAGAATACTTATGTGCTAAAGTCTTTTTTTAAAAGCGTATAAACTAGGTAATTTACTTTATATGCAGTTGGTTTATCTTTTTTTTTCTTCTTAGACCATTGATCGCCATTGTTATATCCTCAGGTAAACAAATATGCATTCTCTGGAGGACAAGCCACAGTGGAGGAACACAAGGAGAAGGGCGGCAATTGTGATGTTGATGTTTCTTTCCAGTATCTTCGCTTCTTCCTAGAGGATGATGAGAAACTGGAGAAGATCAGGAAGGTACTGGCACCTCCGTAGATGTCTTAACTTTTAGTTATTGCTACCATTCTCCCCCACAAAATAAGAACTTATCCCTAAATAAGCCATAGCCTGATTGTTTTCAGGATACTCGTAAAATAAACCCTGCCCAAATATAAACCATAGTTAAGATCGTCTGCCAGATGCACACATTTAATTCATTCCTTTGAATCACTCAATAAACTTATTGAATTACAAAGTAACGAATTTATTATTGACACAAATTCTTTAAATAAATGGTTATATGAATGTAGATTTTTTGTACATGTAAGACATCCCCTGACAAAAAGTAACAAGGCATCTTTTTGAGCGAAAATTAGCACAGGACCTGGTCTTATTTTGGGTAGAAATTTATGTCAAAGCTGGGGGCAGTGGTGATGTGATGGCTAGCTTGTGTGGCTGATGGGTATAGGTTTGAATCCCTAGATGTACCTGTCTCACATGGTAAGAGTCAACTAATTGAGAGATTTCTTTAAAGTCAGAGTGCATCTGCCTGACAGGCAAAAAACTAACAGTCTGCATATTGATGAGTCAGATCGGTGTTACATGCAACACTCAGGTTGTGGAACATGACAAGTCCAACAGTAGATAAACAACCAGAGCTTTCAGCTCGAGTTTACAGCCACTGAATATGAAGAAGAAGAAGAATCCACATAGGCATTTAATTCCCCAAGGCCAAATTACTTCTTCTTTAGCTATTTTTAATGTAGTTCAGTATTCAAATCTGTTTGCTGTCCAGCATTCAAATCTGTTTGTAGTCCAGTATTCAAAGCTTTTTACTACCAGAAGAAAGATGCATACTGTCAGAATTTATTTTACTGATGTGCCTTATGTTGTTTAACTTCTTTATTGATTGTATCAGTCTCCTTGTGACCTCTTGTACATAAACTGTTGCCAGGATTACAGCAGTGGTGAGCTACTAACAGGCTTTTTGAAGAAGGAACTGATCACAGTTCTCCAAGAAATTGTCCAGCAGATCCAGGAGAGGAGAAAGACTGTCACTGACGAGATTGCCCATCAATTTATGGCACCCAGAAAGCTCAAGTTTGACTATTGAAATTTAGGATTATAGTATTGATTATCCTGTTTTTGTGATTTTGAGCAAATGTAAACTTTGAAAAGTCAAGACAATAGTATTTACTCTTGTAGTTCTGAGTAGATGTTAATTATTTGGAGGTGTGGTTTTATAGACGAAGAATGAGAATACCCTAAACAGATGATAAAAAGAGTAATGAAAATGTCTTGAAATAAACTGACTCAAGAAGAGAACTGACTGCCCAATCAGAAAGAGACAATCTACATTCTTTGGTCATGTCATGAGAAGGAGACAACTGGGTTACAACAAGAATGGTGGAAAAGTTGGAAGGAGACAACTGGGTTACAACAAGGACGTAGGAAAGTTGGAAAGAGACAACTGGTTTACAACAAGGACGGTGCGAAAATTGGAAGGAGACAACTGGGTTACAACAAGGACGGTGCGAAAATTAGAAGGAGACAACTGGGTTACAACAAGAACGATGGAAAAGTTGGAAGGAGACAGCTGGGTTACAACAAGGCCGGTGGGAAAGTTGGAAGGAGACAACTGGGTTACAACAAGAACGATAGAAAAGTTTGAAGGAGACAGCTGGGTTACAACAAGGACAGTGGGAAAGTTGGAAGGAGACAACTGGGTTATAACAAGGACGGGAAAGTTGGAAGGAGACAACTGGGTTACAACAAGAATGGTGGGAAAGTTGGAAGGAGACAACTGGGTTACAAGGACGGTGGGAAAGTTGGAAGGAGACAACTGGGTTGCAACAAGAATGGTGGGAAAGTTGGAAGGAGACAACTGGGTTACAAGGACGGTGGGAAAGTTGGAAGGAGACAACTGGGTTGCAACAAGGAGGGTGGGAAAGTTGGAAGGAGACAACTGGGTTACAACAAGGACGGTGGGAAAGTTGGAAGGAGACAACTGGGTTACAACAAGGATGGTGGGAAAGTTGGAACGAGACAACTGGGTTACAACAAGAATGGTGGAAAAGTTGGAAGGAGACAACTGGGTTACAACAAGGATGGTGGGAAAGTTGGAACGAGACAACTGGGTTACAACAAGAATGGTGGAAAAGTTGGAACGAGACAACTGGGTTACAACAAGAACGATGGAAGAGTTGGAAGGAAAAAGAGGCAGAGGGAGACCAAGAGAGGAGATGCTATACAGTTTGACATCATGGCATGGAAAATCATCAGTGTTAGAACTGACTGATTGTACATGAGACAGAGGGATGTGGATAGATTTGACTACCAACGCCACACGACATGGGCTCTAAGAAGAAGATGTTAATTAAACCATGTGTTCTTGATAACGCGGGCAACGACTGAACTGGGGTTTTTTTTTTTTTTAAATATGAAAGTCTCCTATGATAGTGACACATTGAGCATATGATGCTGGAATCATATTTTATTGACGAGTCGTGACATGGTGGGTGCTTGGGTCACCATCACATCGGCCGCCTTTACTTCACATGGACGCGAGATATCTGAGGACTGCAGAAGTGACCAGGGGAGAAAAAAGGCGGCACAGAACCAATTATAAATTGCATGCAAAGCCAGCAGATCAAATGGTTTGCTCACTTGGAGAGAATGCCTTGTGACACCAAACAGTATAAGGCATACACACACAAAAGAGAAGTCCACGTGAAAAAATCCCAGTCATTACCGGGGATTGAACCCGGAACTTCCAGCACTCAAGGCAGACACCATGCCTCGAGGCCCCTGTGGAAGTTCAGATTACGGCTGTGCTCAAAACTAAATTCACATGTAGAACAGAAATTGAAGTGAGAGAGAGAACAAGGAGAAGGAAGGATATGAAAGAAACCGCTATACTACACGAGAGCTGTGACAAAGAGAACAAGTATATATTGTATATATTAGTCTTGTACGAAGATACTAGTCTTAAAGTCCTGTCAGATCGACTGCAGCAGAGATTTACGCATTAATGTAAGCCTCGTTGTCTTGTCTTTTGTTGTGGTTATTCATTGTTTTAATGTCTTGCTTGAAATAAATCATAACTGCCCGATGTGTAGCAAATATATGGACTGATAACAATGTCAGTTTATTGTGTTGTTAATTGTCAGTTTATTGTCAGAGGTTTTTATTGCTTGTCGGGCTAGTAATTTCCCCTGGTCTCTGTGTAGTAAGATCAGATTGCGCTCGTTAAAAAAATCATTTGACAATCGAAAAGGGTAGCCCAATGGCGCTGCCTGACAAAATTTGGAGTTTAAAATCTACCCAAAATATTTCAGGATCCTGGCCGGTGCTACGGAGTTTGTGCACTGCGCTGAGATTCTACGGGCTCAGACTTTAGTCAAAAAAAAAAGAACGGGGCACTTATGAGTTACCCATTGTGCTATGATGTTGATCCGTTGTTTTAAGGTAAACCAGTACGAATGTTGTCTACTGCTGTTCCGAGAGCAAGCATCAATAAATCCTGTTGACACGTGACAATGTGAGCGTTTGGTTCACTTTTATTGTCTGAATGTAGATTTAGTAAATGCAAATGGGTTTCTCTGGTAAAGTACCTTGCAATCCAAAAGTTGTGCGTTCGATTACATACATCCAGAGTTAGTTGCAAGGTGTTATCATTTTGCATGTGTAAGCGTTAGCGGGTAACTATTACAATGGAGAGGGTATCACATGCTATGTTCCCCCTCGTAGCTTTACTACTGAGAATGTGCACTCTCAGCTAGCATCTTACCACTAGTAATTGGTAGCTTTCACCTGTTACAGATTCTGATGAGTGGCGTAAGGACCCAGGGAGCGTTTTCCCCCATAATATGTTCTAGTGTCCACTGACGTCTTTATAATAGACAGTTAATAGAAATAATAAATAGTTAAATAGTCCATTTGTCGTTAAACGGTAAGTGTCAGCGGCCATTACAGCCGTTACAACGGTAAGTGTCAGCGGCCATTACAGCCGTTACAACGGTAAGTGTCAGCGGCCATTACAGCCGTTACATGCACTCCTAGTCACTGTTCTCAATATTATGAAAAATGGCTCATACTCGTTTTAAAGTTAGCGTCTGTGACTTAGGCGTTGCGAATGAGCTTCATAATGCCGGGGTGCCTGGTTCGATCCCAGCTGCCGGCCTTGAGTTGGTTTCAACAGCGGTATCGATAAGCCAAACGTCCATAAAGCAATGGCAAACTACTGGATGTAAATTTGCCTAGGAAGACCACAACAGCTAAAAGATGCTAGTATTGGCTCTGCAATGTCCTGTAAAGGATACGCACCTAATGTTAACTTGTTTTAAAAGGCTGGGTCAACCGCAGAGGCATATCCTCTGGTTGGGGGGGGGGAGGGGGGCACATTCTGACCCCGCCTGTCGTTACAGGCAATAGCACTAACCCTTATCTTCTTCTATGCTTCGTTCTCCATGCCAGTCATTCTCTGAAGAGAAGACTATAGTCTGCTGTGACACATGACACATTGGAATGCCAACCGGCCAAAACTGAGATCTCTCTACTGCAGAGGTTCTTAATCTATAAATTGCGACACTTGTGGGAGTCAAACAAGCCTTTCACAGAGGTCCCTTAAGACCATCAGAAAACACATATTCACTGAAGTGATAAAGTAACAACAAAAATAATGTTATGGTTGGTGGTTACCACAAGTAAAACTGTATTAAAGGGTTGCGGCAACAGGAAAGTTGAGAACCACTGCTCTACTGCATGTAGAGATCATGTCTCTAGCACATGTTTAGTATTCTGTGATGTCTGTCCACTTGTAGAGGTCATCATGTCTCTAGCACATGTTTAGTATTCTGTGATGTCTGTCCACTTGTAGAGGTCATCATGTCTCTAGCACATGTTTAGTATTCTGTGATGTCTGTCCACTTGTAGAGATCATGTCTCTATCACATGTTTAGTATTCTGTGGTGTCTGTCCACATGTAGAGATCATGTCTCTAGCACATGTTTAGTATTCTGTGGTGTCTGTCCACATGTAGAGAGCATGTCTCTAGCACATGTTTAGTATTCTGTGATGTCTGTCTACATGTAGAGATCATGTCTCTAGCACATGTTTAGTATTCTGCGGTGTCTGTCCACATGTAGAGATCATGTCTCTAGCACATGTTTAGTATTCTGTGTTGTCTGTCCACATGTAGAGATCATGTCGCTAGCACATGTTTAGTATTCTGTGGTGTCTGTCCACATGTAGAGATCATGTCTCTAGCACATGTTAAGTATTCTGTGTTGTCCACATGGGCAAAGTTCCCAATCCGTCATCCTGAATTTCATATACACATGACTGCAGAATCTGTTGTGTCCTGCACGAGGTCTAACTGTAATGGTTTGTTTCTTTACTCTGATGAGGTTAAGTGGGTCTTTGTAGTTGTGTCCTGGGTAAAACGTGTTCCAATGTGTTCTAATGGCTGCTTTGATCTGAGTTTTATTTCGCACATAAGTGCATTCTGATTCTATCTCTTCTGTAGGACTTCAAATATATGTTTTTAATTATCATTCGCATAGCTCTTAATACGAACTACTCGAAACCAACAGATGAACTCTACCGGTTTCACATATCTATATAGACCCTGATACACAGTGCCTGTGAATGCGAAGACAGAAAAAGGAGAAAGTCCGGCTTTCAGTTCAACTACTTTTGGTATGTCGAAGTAAATAGCAGCTGTCACAGGGGCAGTTGCAAGGCTGGCAGAACAGAAAACATGCATAAGAGACCCAGAGAGCATAATTAAACGTATCCAAAAATGACAAGTTCCCATAATAATGGATTGACAGCATCCAGAAGTCTCGTCTTAAGAAAGTTTCTTGGTTCTATATACTATTATACGCCAGGGTGAAAAGAAATGAAAGAGCCGACAGCTGGCTGTGTCTAAAAATGGTTAGTAGATGAAGAAGTATGGGCAGGGCAGGCATACTGAATGGGCTGCCTTCCCGAAACGCTGAGACATGAGTCAGAGACCACGAACTGCTTGTCGAAAGTGTGTATTAAAACGAGGACAATCAGGCAGAAACTAGTTGCGGGGTAAAAAAAGAAGGGTTAGGTTCACATTAATCGCACCAAATAGAGTAGGTCACTTTTCATTCACAAGTTTGTTGGGCTGGTCGGTTTACTGAAGGTTACGGGTGTGTGCCCTCTTTTGTTTGCTTTCTGTAATGTCTTGCATTTACGTTTTCATTCCGAGAAAGAGAATGCCTGTGATATATGTTGCAGCACTTTCTAGGGGCGTTGTGTTAAGACCAGTTTCTCCATGTTGTTGGAGTGTTGAAAGCGCCGGTGTACTGAAATATACAACAAGCGATATCAACGACATTGCTAAACACCCTCGTTACCTTGACAGGTTCAGGAACTAACAATCAGAAGTGAGCTAGTGTGTATATGGGAGGGGAGATCAACGTTACTTTTACCGAAAGCAGATATGCCAGTCAAATCCTGCTGCAGACGTTGAACATGGAGACACTGAGCTGGTTGTTGTATCAGAGGCTAGAGCTCAAATGGGCTGGACAGAAATGCTAGGATATCGAAACGGGCAACAGTGAACAAGTATAGACCCCGATAAGAAACATCTCGGTGTATTTTATTATTGTTTTGAAATATCAGCTACTTGCCACTTCTACTGGGTCACATGACATGTGATTAACCAAAACCGATTAGATAACATCAAGGTCACGGATTACTTATCTGTTTTACTGTATGCAACCGCATGGGTCAAAGGTCAAGACAACGGCTAGGGAAGGAAACCTTTAATCCTGCACAGATTTTCACGTTAAGTAGGTAAGTGAACATTCTTCTTCCTTAATTACACCTATGTTGTCCAACAAAAAACTTTCTTTTTATCCGTAGCTGCATCTAAAAACCAGGCGTCCTTGTTTTTGAAAAGGTCTCTAGTTCACTGAAGTTGTTTGTTTGGTCTAGAAACACACGCCTGCCCTACCATATACCAGTGGCGTTTATTTAACAAGGAAGCTTATCTTAGCAAACTAGAACATACTGGCGGTTTGTTAGAATGAGTTGTGTTGCTACTGTATCCTCTGTGTGTGTGGTGTGCGCGTGTGTGTGGAATCAGCGGACACAGACACACAAGCACACACCCAGTATTGTGTATATCTCTAGTGGTGTACCCGCCTCTCTCTCTCTCTCTCTCTCTCTCTCTCTCTCTCTCTCTCTCTCTATATATATATATATATATATATATATATATATATATATATATATATATATATATATATATATATATATATATATATATATACACACACATATATCAAGTGTTGTATATACTTCCAGTGTTGTACATATTTTCAGTATTCTGTGCTGTATGAAATATCTCCCACAGTTGTATATATCTCTAGTGTTGTATACATCCCCAGTGTTGTATATATTTCCAGTACTGTATACATCTCCTACTATTGTATAATATATCTCCCAGAGTTGTTTTTATCTCCATTTGTCGCCATGTATATCTACGAGTATTGTTGAATTATGAGTTGGATTATCTTCACAGCCCTTCGGACAAATCCATAGGTGCTCAGATTCCCCTCTTAACATATTCGTCAGCGTCGAGCGGTAATAGTACCAGTCCTATGTTGGTTAACAAGACTTCGTTTGCGTCCGGTGTACTTCTCATGCTTGGCTGTGCCGATCTTTACTCCAAATTTTTGTATTCTTAGCAGTGTTGTGGATACGTTGCTTCCAAAATCATCAGAACTTTCTATCTCTCTAAGGGCAATGACAGTGTCTGCGTGATCCATGGGCCGGCCATCTTCAATAAATGCAGCACCTGCTAGTCTATCAACTCTCTCATTACCAACAACACCTGCGTGCCCTAGGACGAATACGAAGATAACTGCACACAGGCGAGTTTTGCAATAACTCAAACCACTGACTGCGTAACCAGCCTGCCTTGACCCGCCGGATCATGCTCAAAGAATCACTGAGCACACACACGCGGGAATAGTCCTATGATTCTAGCCACATGGAAGCTTGTGTCACTGCCATCACCTTCATCGTCATGCTGCTGGTAGTCATGGAGAAGGCACCACTGGCTTCTTGAACTCTTCTACCAGTGAATAAATCTCTAGTGTAGCGTGTGTTTATGTGTATATATATATATACATCTCTCTCTAGTGTTCCCTGAACCACACAATGACACTGAAGTGGCTCCCTGTGCAAGCTAACACAGGCTCCATGATTGTGGCCGGACTGGTCACAGTTGTGGTCACCTACCTACTGGTCAAGATCATCAAGTTTATCCCCTACTTTAGGTTCTTCCAGGCACTTCCTGGAGTGTCCAGCTACTCCCTCATATTTGGGAACATTCATATGGTAAGTTTCTTACCAAAGTATACATTTGGTTGAGTCGCAGATTTGTGCTTCAGTATATCGGAAACATTATTTCGAAAAGAGGAAAATTGGGGTAAGTCAAGACTGCAAGAAACGAAGAGAGGTAGATGGCCACTGAGGGAGGAGATGTTGGACAGTTTGGTATCTGGTATCGAAGGAAATGTGTATGAGACACGACTGACAGCTACGCAGGCAGGCACACAGACAAATAGCCAGACAGGTTTTACCAAAATACTATGGAATCTGGGCTTAATGACAGTTGCAAATCTGCAGTCAATTTGGTCTTCACAACCTAGTTTAAAAAAAATGAAGAAACTCCTGTCGAGTTCTGAGCCTCCATTTTGAAAGACAAGAGAACAGAACAAGCATGTCGTAAAAGGCGACTAATTAGAGGTGTTTACTTCGAAGTCGGGGTGCATCTGTCTGATAGGTGAGAAACCAGTAGTCTGCATACGAATTAGCAACGCTCAGGTTCTGGAACAAGACCATAGTCTAGAAAGAGACGAACAACCAGAACTTGATGCCGGAGTTTGCAGATTTAAACGCGAAGAAGAAGAAAAAGAAGAAGAAGAAGAAGAAAAAGAAGAAGAAGAAGAAGAAGAAGAAGAAGAAGAAGAAGAAGAAGAAGAAGAAGAAGAAGAAGAAGAAGAAGAAGAAGGAGAAGGAGAAGAAAAAGAAGAAAAAGAAGAAGAAGAAGAAGAAAAAGAAGAAGCACAAACAAAATATCTTCGCTGGTGAGAGTAGCACTTGTTTATGGTACTGGCAGTATCAAGGTATACAAGCATATGGTGAGAAAAGTATAAAACGAAACCGTTAACATTCCATGATATACGCTGATGTCGCTGTATGTGTGTACATCAATGGCTGCCGGTGTGATAGGAAGAGATAAAATCAGGAATGAAGAAATTATAAGAAGACTTGGACTGAAACCAGACATACAATTCATTATAGAACAACAAATGAGAATCTTTGGCCATCTGACGAGAATGCCCTGGTACCAACTGCCACAGAGAGCCACGCTGAAGTAATATATTGAGTTTAGAGCAAGGGGAAGACCACGCAAGAAATGGAGCGACACCATCAGAAGCCACCTAACAGAAAGGAACACCAACTTGTACGATGCATTGGAAACAGCGAACAAATGATCCTTACCCCCTCCACCGCCCTCCCCCGCCTAAAAACCTAAATAAGGTAAATGGTGGAAGAGAAGAAGAAACATTTTAAGACTGCACAGGACAGTGGTTTAGTGGGGGGGGGGGGGGGGGGGGGGGTTGAGCCTGAGGCTTTAGAACTGAATTGCAAGTGCAGTCGCCACTGACTAGGCAAACCTGGGATTTTATGGTGGCAGCGATTGAAAGACCCCTCCCCTCCTCTTTTCCCCGTCCTTTTCCAACACCATCACCTCAGGCTCCTGATTATCTGTAGCTAATGCAGCCATTTCTCAGTTGTTAGTTGTTCCCTGTTTTGACCTGCACACTATAGCATTTCTTGATGTCTTTTTCTGGTCAGATACCCAAAGATGGGGAAGGTAGAATTGCCTTTTGTCGTGAGTTGATGGACAATCACCATGGTAAATATGCTCGTATTTGGTGGGGGCCGTTCTGGCCAAACCTGGTCGTCTACCACCCGGAGACGGTCAAGGTCATCCTAAAGTCATCAGGTACCGTATTTGACATTGCTGGTTGGATGTTTCTCTCCATTTTTATTCCTGTCATTATGTTTTCTTATGATTATCATCATCGTCGTTATTATTATTTCCGAAAGATATGACACCGAACGAAAAGTATATCAGCGAGCTTCATAATATAACAAACACAAACAAAACCTGAACGTTGCGGCTATGTAGCCTTCTTCAGCACATACATAGATTAGAATACACTACACACATACACAATATCACTTATCTTCGTATCGTGTGGAAGCCAGGTCGATGTCAAGACGATTGTCTAGCGAGGCACGTGGGGAAAATTGGAAAATTGATATCCAAGGATATGCCAGGGGCCGTCACTCGAGGATAAGAGGAAACTGAGTAGGCAGTTCAGCCCCCTAGGATTTAGATGAAGCTGTGTTGGCAGTTTAGTCCACTAGGTGCCAGAATTCTCAAGGGGTATATAAAGCGATTTTCAAGAGACTTGTGAACTCTGTCACTGGAGTGGCTAGATTCAGTGGCAGTCACCTCCATCTCGTAGACACCTCGGTGAACCTGGGATTTGAAATGCAGTGGTGCTGGTTTCAAGGCACCGTTCTGCACGTCCAAAAGATGTTGTCTGAACCTGTCAGCCAGTCGTAAACCCGTTTCATCGATGTATTTAATTATTATCACCACCTTATTCTTGGTGGACTTTGACTCTCTCACCTGGATCTACACAGCTAGACATGCTGGAGTTATGCATAATAAAAGAGTTGACCACCTGGCACGCATTACACAGTTGCAGGTGGGCAGCTGTGTGGACAGAACTGATATCATCAACGCTGCACGGACTAGAGTGGTGACGTACAGTGACGCGTTTCAGACGCTAACAAAATTACGTGATGTTGGAGTAAAGCCCGGTGAAGCCCGTGTATGATGTATCTGAGGTCAAGATAGAAACATTAAAACAAACTTTCAATAGGAGCAATCAGCAAAAGTACCTTGGGTTGACTGTTGCATTGGGCGACTGAGCATGCAAGGGAATGCCCGATGTGCAGTGAGGTTGTTTGTGATAACATAATTGTATAATCATAGTTTATGTGTTACGCGGAGCTTCTGTTATCCTGTCAGTTCATTCAGCCCTGTATATCTCTATCGACCCTGTCTCTAGCACACACACACACACACACACACAAACAAATAAACAAACACATACACACACACACACAGAGAGAGAGAGAGTGAGAGAGAGTGAGAGAGAGAGAGAGAATGACGACGAAGATGATGGCGG